GAGAGTGAGAAAGCGAGTAACAAACAGAGAAACGATATAATATCTATTGGGACGTTAAAACACGTACACAAAACAACTCACCTTCGCCCTCAGTCGTGCTGTTGTTTACAGACGTGCTATTACTGACGTCATCAGACTGAGCCTGTGGGTCTGAGTCTGACAGATCGTCTTCTGTGACGTCATCGAAATAGATAACGTGCAAAGATAACGCGTCTCCTTTGCTATGCCCGTCTGTGTCGATGGTGTCTAATGGAGAGTTTACTTTTTTCACGACTTCTTGTTCTTCTGAACGAATTTCTCCACTCTCATCCTTGTCTGAATTATTGACTTGCTGTGATGACGTTGTGGTAGGATCGCTACTACTGTGCGACGCTTTCTCTGTGGTGGGGTCAAAATAATTAATGGAAGATCCATTACTTCCGGTTCCGGTGTTTGTACTGTTGAGAGGAGAGTCGCTTGAGGAAGTGACGTCATTCATTGTAATTAATTCATCCCCTTGCAAAAGATTGGAGGATTTGTTCGTGGAAGTGTCAGCAAACTCGCTGTTGGGCAAATTTTGTGCAAGAACGTTGTCTGTGTTCGTTTCTACGAGTGTAGCAGACGTGGCCTTTTCGCTGATAATGTTTTTTGTCGTTAGAACTTGAGAATCTGCAGACGATGGCCGTGTGGTTGCTTTCAGCGTTGAACTTTGTACCGAGAGGCTGGATGACGATTCAGGGTCTGTGATTGGTTGTTGGAAGACCGAAACAGGTTTGTCCATTTGAACGTCTGAGTTTAGCACGGATTCTTCTCCAGCAGTTGCGTCTATTTTAAGTCCTTCTGGGTCTGATACTGTCTCTTTATTGGTCTCCTGTCCAAGCTGTGTCGTTGGGCTCTTCACAGACTTCTCGAGAATTTTGAAGGTCGACGATTTCGTTTCTGAGAAGAAAAACAAACAGGTTGTGCAGATGAACAGAGACCATTGCTTCAGATATCAATGACAGGTGTGCTAAAATTAACATATTTTGTATGTTCATCCAACGACTATTTGTGTGTGTATGTGTTTGTCTGTATGGGTATGTGTGTGTGTGTGTTTGTGTGTGTGTGTTTGTGTGTGTGTGTGTGTGTGTGTGTATAT